GCTTGTGTTTCCTTAATTATTTTCATTTTGGATGATCTGTCCATTGGTGAAAGTGGGGTGTTAAATCCCCTACTATGAATGTGTTACTGTCGATTTCCCCTTTTATGGCTGTTAGTATTTGCCTTATGTATTGAGGTGCTCCTATGTAGGGTGCATAAATATTTACAATTGTTATATCTTCTTCTTGGATCGATCCCTTGATCATGATGTAGTGTCCTTCTTTGTCTCTTGTAATAGTCTTTATTTTAAAGTCTATTTTGTCTGATATGAGAATTGCTACTCCAGCTTACTTTTGGTTTCCATTTGCATGAAATGTCTTTTTCCATCCCCTTATTTTCAGTCTGTATGTGTCTCTAGGTCTGAAGTGGGTCTCTTGTAGACAGCAAATATATGGGTCTTGTTTTTGTATCCATTCAGCCAGTCTGTGTCTTTTGGAGGGAGCATTTAGTCCATTTACATTTAAGGTAATTATCGATATGTATCTTCCTATTCCCATTTCCTTAATTGTTTTGGGTTCCTTATTGTAGGTCTTTTCCTTCTCTTGTGTTTCTTGCCTAGAGAAAGATCCTTTAGCAGTTGTTGTAAAGCTGGTTTGGTGGTGCTGAATTCTCTCAGCTTTTGCTTGTCTGTAAAGGTTTTAATTTCTCCATCAAATCTGAATGAGATCCTTGCTGGGTAGAGTAATCTTGGTTGCAGGTTTTTCTCTGTCATCACTTTAAATATGTCCTGCCAGTCCCTTCTGGCTTGCAGAGTTTCTGCTGAAAGATCAGCTGTTAACCTTATGGGGATTCCCTTGTGTGTTATTTCTTGTTTTTCCCTTGCTGCTTTTAATATGTTTTCTTTGTATTTAATTTTTGACAGTTTGATTAATATGTGTCTTGGTGTATTTCTCCTTGGATTTATCCTGTATGGGACTCTCTGTGCTTCCTGGACTTGATTAACTATTTCCTTTCCCATATCAGGGAAGTTTTCAACTATAATCTCTTCAAATATTTTCTCAGTCCTTTCTTTTTCTCTTCTTCTTCTGGAACCCCTATAATTCGAATGTTGGTGTGTTTAATGTTGTCCCAGAGGTCTCTGAGAGTGTCCTCAGTTCTTTTCATTCTTTTTTCTTTATTCTGCTCTGCAGTAGTTATTTCCAGTATTTTATCTTCCAGGTCACTTATCCGTTCTTCTGCCTCAGTTATTCTGCTATTGATCCCATCTAGAGTATTTTTCATTTCATTTATTGTGTTGTTCATCATTGTTTGTTTCCTCTTTGTTCTTCTAGGTCCTTGTTAAATATTTCTTGCATTTTGTCTATTCTGTTTCCAAGATTTTGGATCATCTTTACTATCATTATTCTGAATTCTTTTTCAGGTAGACTGCCTATTTCCTCTTCATTTGTTAGGTCTGGTGGCTTTTTATCTTGCTCCTTCATCTGCTGTGTGTTTTTCTGTCTTCTCATTTTGCTTATCTTACTGTGTTTGGGGTCTCCTTTTTGCAGGCTGCAGGTTCGTAGTTCCCGTTGTTTTTGGTGTCTGTCCCAGTGGCTAAGGTTGGTTCAGTGGGTTGTGTAGGCTTCCTGGTGGAGGGGACTAGTGCCTGTGTTCTGGTGGATGAGGCTGGATCTTGTCTTTCTGGTGGGCAGGTCCATGTCTGGTGGTGTGTTTTGGGGTGTCTGTGGACTTATTATGATTTTGGGCAGCCTCTCTGCTAATGGGTGGGGTTGTGTTCCTGTCTTGCTAGTTGTTTGGCATAGGATGTTCAGCACTGTAGCTTGCTGGTCGTTGAGTGAAGCTGGGTGCTGGTGTTGAGATGGAGATCTCTGGGAGATTTTCGCCGTTTGATATTACGTGGAGCTGGGAGGTCTCTTGTGGACCAGTGTCCTGAAGTTGGCTCTCCCACCTCAGAGGCACAGCACTGACTCCTGGCTGCAGCACCAAGAGCCTTTCATCCACACGGCTCAGAATAAAAGGGAGAAAAAGTAGAAAGAAAGAATTAGTAGAAGTAGAAAGAAAGAAAGAAAGGAAGGAAGGAGGGAGGGAGAGAGGCAGGGAGGCAGTAAGGAAGGAAGGAGGGAAGGAAGGAAAAATGAAAGAAGATAAAGTAAAATAAAATAAAGTAAGAAAATATAATAAAGTTATTAAAATAAAAAAAATATTATTAAGAGAAAAACAAAAACAACAACAAAAAACAATGGACGGATACAGCCGTAGGACAAATGGTGGAAGCAAAGCTATACAGACAAAATCTCACACAGAAGCATACACATACACACTCACAAAAAAAGGAAAAGGGGAAAAAATCATAAATCTTGCTCTCAAAGTCCACCTCCTTAATTTGGGATGATTCATTGTCTATTCATGTATTCCACAGATGCAGGGTACATCAAATTGATTGTGGAGCTTTAATCCGCTGCTTCTGAGGCTGCTGGGAGAGATTTCCTTTTCTCTTCTTTGTTCTCACAGCTCCCAGGGGCTCAGCTTTGGATTTGGCCCCGCCTCTGCGTGTAGGTAGCCGGAGGGCGTCTGTTCTTCGCTCAGACAGGACGGGGTTAAAGGAGCCGCTGCTTTGGGGGCTCTGGCTCACTCAGGCCGGGGGGAGGAAGGGGCACGGAGTGCAGGGCAAGCCTGCGGCGGCAGAGGCCGGCATGACGTTGCACCAGCCTGAGGCGCGCCGTGCGTTCTCCCGGGGAAGTTGTCCCTGGATCCCGGGACCCTGGCAGTGGCGGGCTGCACAGGTTCCTGGGAGGGGAGGTGTGGATAGTGACCTGTGCTCGCACACAGGCTTCTTGGTGGCGGCAGCAGCAGCCTTAGCGTCTCATGCCTGTCTCTGGGGTCCGCGCTTTTAGCCACGGCTTGCGCCAGTCTCTGGAGCTCCTTTAAGCAGCGCTCTTAATCCCCTCTCCTCGCGCACCAGGAAACAAAGAGGGAAGGAAAAGTCTCTTGCCTCTTCGGCAGGTCCAGACTTTTCCCCGTACTACCTCCCGGCCAGCCGTGGCGCACTAACCCCCTGCAGTTTGTGCTCAAGCCGCCAGTCCTCTCCCGGCGCTCCTTCTGAAGACGGAGCCTCAGCTCCCAGCCCCGCCCAACCCGGCGGGTGAGCAGACAAGCCTCTCGGGCTGGTGAGTGCCGGTCGGCACCGATCCTCTGTGCGGGAATCTCTCCGCTTTGCCCTCCACACCCCTGTTGCTGCGCTCTCCTCCGTGGCTCCGAAGCTTTCCCCCTCCACCACCCGCAGTCTCCGCCCGCGAAGGGGCTTCTAGTGTATGGAAACGTTTCCTCCTTCACAGCTCCCTCCCACTGGTGCAGGGCCCGTCCCTATCCTTTTGTCTCTGTTTATTCTTTTTTCTTTTGCCCTACCCAGGTACGTGGGGGGTTTCTTGCCTTTTGGGAGGTCTGAGGTCTTCTGCCAGCGTTCAGTAGGTGTTCTGTAGGAGTTGTTCCACGTGTAGATGTATTTCTGGTGTAACTGTGGGGAGGAAGGTGATCTCCGCGTCTTACTCTTCCGCCATCTTCCCGGAAGCCTCCCAAACTTTTATTTTTTATTTTATTTCTTTTTATTGAGGTATAGTTGATGCATAATGTTATATAAGTTTCAAGTGTACAACATAGTGATTCACAATTTTCAAAGATTATATTCCATTTAGTTATAAAATATTGGCTATATTCTCTGTGTGGTACAATATATCCTGTAGCTCATTTATTTTATACACAGTAGTTTGTATCTCTTAATCCCCTACCCCTATCTTGCCCCTCCCCCATCCCTCTCCCCACTGGTAATCACTAGTTGGTTCTCTATATCTGTGAATGTGCTTCTTTTTTGTTATATTCATTAGTTTGTTTTATTTTTTAGATTCCATATATAAGTGACATCATACAGTATTTATCTTTCTCTGTCTGACTTATTTCACTTAACATAATACCCTCCAAGTCCATCCATGTTTTTGCAAATGGCAAATTTTCATTCTTGTTTAGGGCTGAGTAGTATTCCATTGTGTGTATCTGTGTGTGTGTGTGTAACATACATATATATATATGTATATACACACTGCATTGAACATGGGGGTACATGTATCTTTTTGAATTAGTGTTTCAATTTTTTTTTTCAGTTATATACCCAGGAGTAGAACTGCTGGGTCATATGGTAGTTTTGTTTTTAGTTTTTTGAGGAACGTCCATACTGTTTTCCACAGTGGCTGCACTAATTTACAGCACTGTATGACAGTACCCTTTTCTGAGAGCTATCAAAATGTTAAATCACATATACTTTTACCCAACATTTTTACTTCTGGGGTCGTATACTGTATGTGCATGGGCGTATGTACAAGCATATTCTTTACTGCATTGTTTACTGGCAAAAGACTAGGAATAAGCTAAATATCCATTAATTGGAGACTGGTTAAAAAATTATGGTATATCCGTGCAATTGGAATATCAGGCAGCTATTAAATAGAAGAGCCAGATCTATGTATCTATGTGTACTGATAGGGAACAATCTCTAAGAAATATTTAATGACTAAAAACAGAGATCAATGGTGTGTAGACGATGCTTCTCTGTGTGTGTGTGTGTGTGTGTGTGTGTGTGTGTGTATACACCTACATTCTGTGTAAGTTTGTATCTACACTATTTCTGGAAGGGCTTCAAGAAAATTGTTTGAAGAGTTGCCTATGGAGAGAGGAACTGGAGATTGGGAATCAAAGGTGGGAGGGAGTCCTGGTATGACCTTTGTACTGTGAATTTTACTCCATACAGGTATACCTTTTTTAAAAAGTAAAAGAAAAAAAAAAAAAAGAAAGGCACAGATTCTTGAGCCACAGGCCTATTGAACGAGAATCTCCAAGAATGTACACTTTTAATAAGCTTCCCAGGTGGCTCTGGTGGCGGGTCAGGCTGAGTCAGTGGAAGTTAGGCAATTCTATAACTCAACTAGTCCCAGCTTCCAAGCAGTGGATGAGTCCTGTGCGGCCCTGCCCAGGAGCCACGTCGAATTTCACGTGCTGTCCCTCTCTCTGCAGGTTGTACCAGTCGGTCAAGCTGATGTACTCCATCGGCATCTTCTTCACTTATGCCCTCCAGTTCCACGTGCCAGCTGAGATCATCATCCCCGTCGTCATCTCCCAGGCGTCAGAGAGCTGGGTGCTGTTTGCAGACCTGTCTGTCCGCACGGCCTTGGTCTGTCTGACCTGTGAGTAAGATAAAAGGGCTCTCTTTGCCCAAAGCTGTGGTCGTCAGCCACATTGACAGCTACCCCCATCACTGGCTCGGCCACTAGCCAAGCAAGATATTTCACTTTCCGGAACCGCAACTTTCCAACTGAAAAATGGGCTTAACAGAACTGTCACATAGTAAATGTTATAGTAATCTCTACTGTCTACACATAGAAAGAATACATTGACTGGTTTGAGGGAGAAAGAAGCGTCATTTATTCATTCCTATATGCCTCCCATATGTCAGGCACAGCACTGACATTATCTAAGACTCATGACAGCCTAACTATGTAATATGACCAATTGAAGGGACTATGACCCAGGAAATTAAGTAACATGCTAACATCATAAACAGCTGCTAAGCGACAGAGCTGGGATTTGAATGCAGGTTGTGTAGCACCAAAGTCTGTGTTTTCCATTGTGCCATATTCCTTCCTATCATAAATTAAGGTCAAGTCTCCTTAAAGTGGCATTTAACTATAGAGAAAACCCCCAAGGGGCTGATTTGTTACAGTCTTGGAAGTCATTTTCTCCTCCCTTCCTCCATCCCTCCCTTTCTTCCTTCCTTCCTGCTTCCTTCCATTCATTCATCCATTCATTACCTCATTCATTCTACATCAGGTGCCATTGTAGATGTTTGGGAAACATTGTGAACAGGGCTGGGAAACTCTTTCTCTGAAGCATGTTCAGAGAAAGAAGATCAAAACAGGTGTCCCATGAAGAATGAGGGAAAGAACTATGGAGGTTTTGCCTGGAGAAGCAAAGGCGTGGGGAAATTCTGTATCTGTTCTCAAACACCTGTGGGATTATTGTGCAAGAGAGAGGGCAGATTTCATCTTCAAGTCTCCAGGAGTCAGTGTTTACAGTTGAGGGAATCCCATCTCAGTTCAGGGTCAGGAGGAAGTGTGTAAATCTTGGAGCAGACCAGCAGAACAATATACTACCAGATGCTATACTCCACATAACTGGAGTTCTATAAGCAGAAACAGCTTGGCCTAAGGTGTTGTTAGGCCAACTTGTTGTTACAGAGAGTTCCCAGTCTGTACCAAGACATCAGGAACCTGTAAATACATTGTTTTGAGATCATTCCCAATAGGAAGGGTGTACATTGAAGAGAAACACTGAGTAGTTCAGGCCACTTGGTATCAGGGAAAGGGCATCACTAGAGACAGCTGACTTTCAATGACATGTCCTGCTTCTGTTCTGTGCTGAATGACCACTTCTTCCTCTTTTATTCATCTGCCAATTCTGTTATCCTTCATTCAGTAATCATTTGTTGAACACCTACTATGTGCCTGACATTGTGCTAGGTGCTACGGATACAATAACGAATCATGAAAAAGACATGGCTCCTGCCCCCATGAGGCTTATAGTTTGAGTGGGAAATATATGCAGGCAAATAATTATAGCACACTGTGATGAATGTTAAGATGGTACACAGTGATGTACCAGAGGATAGTTAAGACTGTAAGAAGAGGCTACCCTAAGAGCACCTGAGAAGGTCCTATAACTTAGCCTGGGCCCGGTCAGGAAGTCCTCGCCACTGGAGTGATATTTCAGTTAAGACCTAAAAGATAATTAGGAGGCAGGTGGAGCAGTGGAGAATGTACCATGTGCAGTGAGCAGACTCTGCACAGATTGGAGGCAAGTACTTACATACAGCCTCTCTGGAGAACTGAAAGCATAAATAGTGATAAGACGCAAAGCCAGAGGATTTGGCAGGGCCCAAGTCCTAAGGGACCTTGTGCTAAGGAGATCAGGCAGTGGGGAAGGGCCCATAGCAATGGGTTAGCATGACCAGATCTGACCCTTCTAGAGCACTCCTCCAGTCCACCATGCATTGTAGCTTTCCTTGAGCATATCTTCTCTCTGCCCTGCCTGCATGAGCTCTCCTAAAGAACAGACACTGAATTTTCTCTGTACTTCCTCCAGTAAGCAATTTATTAAATATCTGATAAAGGAAAGCTGTGGACGAGGATCATCCCATCAGAGAGGTGATGGATTCTCAACCATGAGAGTCTATGAGTCTCTCTTGTTCTCTGATTAGATGTGCTGGAGCGATTTCAGAAAGAGGTGATGTTTTCTTCAAGACCCAGAAAGCTAGTCTGAGTGCTTTCCAGAGCTGGTTTTACCTAATTTATTCATAGGAAAATCATATGGCTGTATAAAGTTAAGTCACATAATTTATATGTTTATTCATTCAAATATTATCAAAATTGGACTCCCCTTGAAAATCCATGATATATGTTCATTGTGTGTATAAAAGGTGGAAATCTAAGAGTGTCTATGGAAGAGAAGAGATGGTGAGTGAGCCGCCTAATGCTGTCTGCATGTTTTATATCCTCCTTAATTACCAGTTTCCTTCTAAGAGTAGGAAAACCAGTGGTTGAGAGTCTGAGAGCAGCAGAGCCATCTCTCATTGTTTATCCATCCTTGCTTCTAGACAGCGACTATATTGTGTAGATCAGTACAAATTCACTGTAGATGCAGTGCCTGGGCAAGAGTCAAGCATTTATCAAGCACCTACTGTATATCAAGTTCTTTCACGTACATTAGAGGCAAACTAGTAGGGTGGAAAGGGCCTTAGATTGGACATTTCAGTGGCTTCTCATCTCAGCTCTGTGTGACCTTGGGCACAACCCATTCCCTCTAGAGCTCTAGATTTCCCCAGCTCTGTGATGACAAGGTTATAATAGATAGGTGGTAGAGGATCCTTTTCAATAAATATTATATGTGAAAAACCCAATAGATAAAACATAAAAGGAGAGCATGTTTTGGCAGCTAAAACAGAGGTGGGAGTCCAGAGCCACCGTGCCTGTTCTGCTCCAGTTCACAATGGGCTCCTTTCCCACCTCTTCAATGGTCTGTCAGGCACCTGTAGAATTACACAAGTCTCCAAAGAAATGATTTGTTTCTGGGCTCCCTTTCTGCAGGAACGTTCAGCAATTCTAAACTTCCTTTTTCCCCGCAGGTGTCTCAGCCATCCTCATCCCCCGCCTGGACCTGGTCATCTCCCTGGTGGGCTCTGTGAGCAGCAGTGCCCTGGCCCTCATCATCCCGCCCCTCCTGGAGCTCATCACCTTTTACCCTGAAGACATGAGCTGTGTCACCATTGCAAAGGACATCATGATCAGCATCCTGGGCCTTTTGGGGTGTGTATTTGGAACATACCAAGCCCTCTGTGAGTTGATCCAACCCATCAACTATTCCATAGCCAACTCCACAGCTGTCTATGCATAATTATCTATTTTTATTCTGATAGTTCTCCCTTACTCCCATCCCCAATTTGACTTCTATTGTGGATGTTATATACATTCATCAAACCCCAACATCTCTATATTAATTAGTGGCTTCTTTATCTTTCCAAGAGAAACGTAGGTGACACAAGTCAGTACTGATACCTCTCAGGCTACGTCTTTTCTGGTTTTTGGATTTCTCTGGAGGCCTTTTGTACCTCCGAACCAAAAGCACATTCAACCGTTTGTATTATCAGCCTCATTTAATGGGAAAAAGGATGCCATTTGCCCATGATATCCCTGGAAACAGAGACCAAGCAAAAATATAAATGCAAAAGGAGTTGTTTTCTGTATTCTGCAGTAACTACCCTTAAAGCATCAGGTTTAGAAAAGTGAATATTGGGGAAAGAGGAGTTTCTATTTAGGTATGGTTCTAAGTGGAAGAGTCACAGAACAAAAATAGTACTTAGCAGTAATTTTTCTAACCAATAGCTCTGACACTGATTTCCTATGGCATCTTTTTTTTTTTTTTTAATTTTTATCCTATGGGATCTTTGGCAAGTTTCTCTCCCTGTCCATCTCACTTTCCCATTCTATGAATTGAAGGATTGGATTAATTGGCTGTTACAGACTCTTCCAGCTCTGACATTCTGAAAGTGAAAAAAAGAAGAAAAAAAGAAAAGAAAAGAAGTGAATTTATCCTTTAACACATGTGTAAAAGTCGAAGTGTTTTCTGTCAGCAAGTTACCCTGTTGCCCTGGAGACACAGGCATACCAGAAGTAGGTTAAGGGATAAAAAAATATTTCTTAGCAATCTTTCATTATGGTGACCTCCCTACTGAGAAGGACATCACCTCTCTGTCTCTTTCTTCTTCTCTCTCCCCCCACCCGACCCCCACCTTCTCGGATATCTTAAGGCCACTTAGAGCTGATTTAGGCTAAAGGGGATGAGCAGTTTGTGTGAGGGAAAGGATTTCATCATGTGCAAGGACTACTGACCTTTTTAAAAATAATACTTAGTTTTGGTAAGGGTTTGGAAAAACAATCTTATACTCTGCAGATGGCAGAATACATTTTTATGGCTTTTCTGAAGGACAATTTTTATAATACATAAGTTTTAAAATGCATAGCCCTCTGACCCAATTTCACTTCTGGGAGTTTATCCTAAGAATCTTTTATGTTTGCAAAAATTTATGCATTATTTATGTTGGAAACAAATATCCAACATTAAGTTAAATTATGATTCATCCAGAATAGAATTCTGTGATGACCCCAAACACTGCAAAAATGCACCTATTGATATGCAAATATATTTGTGATTTATCAGTGGAAAAAAAAAACTGGTTTAAAGCACTCTGTGAACCAAAATTAGGCAAAGACATTACAAGAAAATAGAGCTACAGACCAAAATCCTTCATGGACATAGATGTAAAAATTCTAAACACAATTTTAGCAAATCAATATAATCAATGTAATTTACCATATTAACAAACTAAAAAGAGAAAAATATATGATCATCTCAATATATACAGAAAAGCATTTGGCAAAATCTAGTGTCTATTCCTAGAATAAAACTCTTGGCAACTAAGGATAGTAGGGAACTTTTACAACTGGTAAAAAGCATCTGTGAAAAATCTATAGCTAACATCATACTTGATAAGGAAAGACTGAAGATCAAAAACAAAATACAGATGTGCATTCTCACCACTTCTATTCAACATTGTACCAGATGTCTAGACAGTGAAATTCGGCAACAAAAAGAAATAAAGTCATCCAGAATGGAAAGGTAAAAGTAAAACTGTCTTTATATGAAGTTGATATGATCATCAGTGTAGAAAATCCAATGGAATCTACAAAAAAGCTACTACTAGTTGATTTTACAAAGTTTCAGGATATAAGGTCGATGTATAAAATCCAGTTGTGTTTCTCTGTACTAGCTGGGAACAATCAGAAATTGCACTTACAATAGCACCAAAAATATGCAATAATTTGGGATAAATCTGATGAAAGATATGAAACCTATGTACAATAAAGACTATAATATATTGCTAAAAGAAATTAAGATGTAAATAAATGGAGAGATACACCTTCTTCATGGCTCAGAAGACACATTATAGTTAAGATGTCAATCCTCATCAAATTCAGCAAGGTTTTTTTTTTTTTTTAATAAATTGACCAGCTGATTCTAAAATTCATATGGAAATGCAAAGGACCTAGAATGCCAAAATATTCTTTGGAAAAGAACAAAGTTGAGGAGCTAACACTATCTGATTTCAAGAACTGTAACAAAGCTACCATAATCAAACTGCATGGTATTGGTGCCAAAATTGACACATGATTCAATGGACAGAATAGAGAGTCAAGAAATAACTACACACATATGAGCAACTTATTTTTGTCAAAGGTGCGGAGGCAAAGGCAAGGTAGTGGAGAAAGAATCACCTTTTCAAGGCAGTTGTGCTGCAAAAATTGGAAATCCTTATGCTCTCCCCACCCCCCCATCCAAAAAAGAACTTGGATCCATATTTTACATCATATACAAAAAAAAAATCAATTTAAAATGTATCTTAGGCCTAAATGTAAAATCTAAAACTATAAAACTGTTACAAGAAAATATAGGAGAGAAAAATGTTGTGACCCTTGGACTAGGCAAAGATTTCTTAGATATAACACCTAAAGCACAATCCATAAAAGAAGAAATTGCTAAAATGGACTCCATTAAAATTAAAACCTTTATTCTTCAAAAGACACTGTTAAGAGGATGGAAGGAAAAGCCACCAAGTGGGAGAAAATCTTTGTGAAGTTTGTGTCTAATGAGATACTCATATCCAGAATACATAAAGAACTCTCAAAGTCCAGCAATTAGAAAACAACTTATTTTTTTTAACGGGCAAAAAAATATGAATGCAGCTCTTCACCAAAGAAGATATATGGATGGTAAATAAGCATATGAAGAGATGTCCCAACATCATTAGTATTTAGGGAAATTCAAATTAAAACCACGATGTGATATTACTCTATACCTATTAGAATGACTAAAATTTTAAAGACTGACCATACTGGTGTTGGCAAGGATGTGGAGAAACTGGAACTCCCATATGCTGCTACTGTGGATGGATATGGTGAAACCACTTTGATGAACAGTTTGGTAGTTTCTTTAAAAGTTCAACACACACCTGTCATATGATCCACCTATTCTACCTCAAGATATTTACCTGAAAGAAAAGGAATTTTCTACCTATAAAAATACTTGCACAGGGAATTCCCTGGTGGTCCAGTGGTTAGGACTCCAAGCTTTCACTGCCGAGGGCATGGGTTCATTCCCTCGTTGAGGAACTAAGATCCCACAAGCTGTGTGGTGCGGCCAAAAAAAAAAAGACTTGTACATACATGTTTATGGTAACTTTATTTACAGTAGCAAAAAGTGGGAAACAACCAAAATGCCCATCAACAGGTGAATGGATAAACAAACTGTGGTATATCCAAGCAGTGGAATACAACTCAGTGATAAATAGGATCAAACTGTTGGTGCACACAGTAACATGGATGAATCTTAAAATAATTATATTGAGTGACAGAATACAGATTTAAAAATGAAACAGGTACAAATTGTATCATTCTATTCATATAAAAGTTTAGAAAATACAACCTAGTCTGTAGGGACAGAAAGCAAATCTGGTTGCTTGAAGGTGAGAGAGGTGAGAAGGGGCATGAGGAAACTTTCATAAGTGATGGATAATATGTTCACTATTTTGATTGTGAGGATGGGTTTCCCAGGTGTGTACATATATGTCAAATTTTATTCAATTGTACAGTATGTACAGTTTTATTATATAACAATTATAACTCAAAGCTGTGAAAAATAGAATGTGAAGCATGATGCCATTTTGGTTCCTTTTAAAAAAGCAGTCATATGCATATAGCCAAACAGTTTTGAAGGATATGCACAACATAAAATGTTACAGGAATTTTCTCCAAGTGGGTTCAGTTATGAGTGAAATTTTATGGGTTTTTTTTTTTTTGCTTACCTGTGTTGTTGCAATTTTAACAGTAATGTGTTGATTTTATTATTTATTTATTTTTGGCTGTGTTGGGTCTTTGCTGCTGCATGCGGACTTTCTCTAGTTGCGATGAGCGGGGGCTACTCTTTGTTGCGGTGTGCAGGCTTCTCACTGCAGTGGCTTCTCTTGTTGTGGAGCACGGGCTCTAGGCGTGCGGACTTCAGTAGTTGTGGCATGTGGGCTCAGTAGTTGCAGCACACAGGCTTCAGTAGTGTGGCGCACAGGCTTAGTTGCTCCACGGTGTGTGGGATCTTCCCAGACCAGGGATCGAACACGTGTCCCCTGCATTGGCAGGCAGATTCTCAACCACTGCACCACCAGGGAAGTCCCTGTGTTGATTTTATAACTAAAGAAACTTCATGTGAGGGAAAATTTTAATGATCTGTTTCACTCTAATGGAAGCACCACTTTTTTTTTTTCGGTACGTGGGCCTCTCACTGCTGTGGCCTCTCCCGCTGCGGAGCACAGGTTCCAGACGCACAGCCTCAGCAGCCATGGCTCACGGGCCCAGCTGCCCTGCGGCTTGTGGGATCCTCCCAGACACGAACCCGTGTCCCCTGCATCAGCAGGTGGACTCTCAACCACTGCGCCACCAGGGAAGCCCCAAAGCACCACTTTTTAAAAACATTTTATAGTGAACTATAATTCCCATACAGGAAAGTATGCAAAGCATAAATTTACAGTATAATGAGTATTTCTAGGTAACATCACTTTTCAACCTCACCTTCTATTTGATGATTAGTTCTATGGCCTAAATAACAGGAATCCCAGCTGGGGTTAGCAGAGTTCTCATCCTGCAATGCGTCTTCATTCATTTACCGATGGTCAGGTGTCAAGCAACAACCTCTCAGAGGAGATGTGAAGTAGCCATGGCATCATGAAGGAAAGGGTGGTGGAGAGGAGCATCTTATCACTACATAAGAAAGCTATATGCCAATAATAAGATCTTTGCTCTTTGGGGACCCAGACCATGAGCCTGGAGCAGGTGAGGCTTTAGGGAATATATGGAAGCCTTACTATAGAATATATAACAATAAAATGCATATAAGACAGTGGTTTATAACTTTTGGAGGGGTCATACACCTTGTTGATTCTAATGAAATCCATGGATCCTCCTTCCATAAAATTCACATTTATGCATACATACTAAATTTTGCATGCAACTTTAGGAGCAATCACAAACCCAATGAAACAAATAGACCCTGGGTTGCAAAAGAACCTCTGGAAAAAGGAAGGCAAGAATATTTGCTTCTTGTGGCATTGAACCATCTGCAGATGGTGGATAGCCAACCCTGGCACTAAGGTTTGAATGCAGAATGGGGCAATATGCAAAATCAGATGAGGGAGGTAAGCTACCAGACAAGGAAACCCAGGCCACCATATGACTGGTACAGAACACACTTACTGACTGCAGCCAGCACTGACAGGACCCAAACTGGCCTTTCCAGTTTCATCAGTGTATACTGAATTTTCTGCTGCCATGTGCTTCTTTGGCAAAAACTGGGACCTGGTAGTTGGAATAGAGATGTCTGGGAGGATACAGAGGCTGTAGGGGGATTCCTGACCCCCAGAACCTTCAGAATCATCTCCCACTGCATTTCTTGGCTCCACGAGCATGATCTGTCTCAACATGACTGAGATGGACTGTGGTTGGGGCATTGAGGGGAATGATATACAAAATCACTTTCAGGAGAGGCTGAATTCGGATCTTCAACAACTCATTGAAAGAAAGAGGAACGAGAAAGTTGAGATTGCTAAGCAACACAAGCCCTGCGTGGGGGTGGCAGCAGAAGTTGCCCGTGAGAAACTGAGGCATTAAGAGTTGGCTACCAAGTGGACACAAGTGACATGAGTGGCGTATAAGCCACCATGACCCTGAGAATGAAACTGACAGAGAACTCTATAAAGATGCACAAGATTTGTGACTTAGCAAACAATGTCCAGACAGTGCCTGACTCAAACCCACGAAGGAGCACCTCAAGCAATTCCCTGAGCTCTGAGCTCTAATGTTATAAAAAGGGGGCCGGGGGAGCACAGAACCTCTCCCTGGCATCTGACACCACTTGGAAGTGAAATTGCACTGCTATGATATTGCACTGAAAATTTTCTTAAGGGAAAATTTTCAGGTGGACCATAACTTAGGAAGTTGGACCTGCCGGTCAGGGAGATTCACACGTGAACGACAGGCCCTGTGATCTGGTCCTTCCCCGCCTCTCTTGCTTCTTCTGGCACGAATAGCACCTTTTCTCTCCATCCGCACCAGCCTTTGTCCAGTTTCCGAAAAGCAGCTCCTCCTTCCTGCAGGGCCTCAGCATATGCTATTCCCTCCACTTTGAACTCTTTTCCCCCCTCTCTACCTACTTAATTCCTACTCATTTGTCAGATCTCAGTTATCACTTCCTCAGGAAAACCCTCCCTGACTTCACCCACTGACCCAGGCTCTGCCATTCCCGATAAGCTTCTATTTCGTAACACTCCTCAGCTGTCATAGAAAAACTTCAGCAGTATATTTTTACAACTTTTTATTTATTTTATTTTTTATTTTTTTGGGGGGGTCGTTTGTGTCTCCATTATAGATTTTAAGATTTTTTTGTTCTAGTTCCATAAAAAATGCCATCGGTAATTTGATAGGCATTGCATTGAATCTGTAGATTGCTTTGGGTAGTAGAGTCATTTTCACAATATTGATTCTTCCAATCCAAGAACATGGTATATCTCTCCAACTGTTGGTATCATCTTTAATTTCCTTCATTAGTGTCTTATAGTTTTCTGCATACAGGTCTTTTGTCTCCCTAGGTAGGTTTATTCCTAGGTATTTTATTCTTTTTGTTGCAGTGGTAAATGGGAGTGTTTCCTTAATTTCTCTTTCAGATTTTTCATCATTAGTGTATAGGAATGCAAGAGATTTCTGTGCATTAATTTTGTATCCTGCAACTTTACCAAATTCATTGATTAGCTCTAGTAGTTTTCTGGTAGAGTCCTTAGGATTCTCTATGTATAGTATCATGTCATCTGCAAACAGTGACAGTTTTGGCTAGGAATTCCAAAACTATGTTGAATAATAGTGGTGAGAGTGGACATCCTTGTCTTGTTCCTGATCTTAGAGGAAATGCTTTCAGTTTTTCACCATTGAGAATGATGTTTGCTGTGGATTTGTCGTATATGGCCTTTATTATGTTGAGGTAGATTCCCTCTATGCCCACTTTCTGGAGAGTTTTTATCATAAATGGGTGTTGAATTTTGTCAAAAGCTTTTTCTGCATCTATTGAGATGATCATATAGTTTTGTTTTGTTTTGTTTTTGCGTTATGTGGGCCTCTCACTGTTGTGGCCTCTCTTGTTGCGGAGCACAGGCTCCAGATGCGCAGGCTCAGTGGCCATGGCTCACGGGCCCAGCCGCTCCGCGGCACGTGGGATCTTACCGGACCAGGGCACGAACCCATGTCCCCTGCATCGGCAGGCAGACTCTCAACCACTGCACCACCAGGGAAGCCCAATCATATAGTTTTTATTCTTCAGGTTGTTAATATGGTGTATCACATTGACTGATTTGTGTATATTGAAGAATCCTTGCATCCCTGGGATAAATCCCACTTGATCATGGTGTATGATCCTTTTAATGTGTTGTTGGATTCTGTTTGCTAGTATTTTGTTGAAGATTTTTGCATCTATATTCATCGGTGATATTGGTCTGTAATTTTCTTTTTTTGTAGTATCTTTGTCTGGTTTTGATATCAGGGTAATGTTGGCCTCATAGAATGAGTTTGGGAGTGTTCCTTCCTCTGCAATTTTTTGGAAGAGTTTGAGAAGGATGGGTGTTAGCTCTTCTCTAAATGTTTGATTGAATTCACTTGTGAAGCCATCTGGTCCTGGACTTTTGTTTGTTGGAAGATTTTTAATCACAGTTTCAATTACATTACTTGTGATTGGTCTGTTCATATTTTCTATTTCTTCCTGGTTCAGTCTTGGAAGGTTATACCTTTCTAAGAATTTGTCCATTTCTTCCAGGTTGTCCATTTTATTGGCATAGAGTTGCTTGTAGTAGTCTCTTAGGATGCTTTGTATTTCTGCAGTGTCTGTTGTAACTTCTCCTTTTTCATTTCTAATTTTATTGAATTGAGTCCTCTCCCTCTTTTTCTTGATGAGTCTGGCTAAAGGTGTATCAATTTTGTTTATCTTCTCAGAGAACCAGCTTTTAGTTTTATTGATCTTTGCTATTGTTTTCTTTGTTTCTATTTCATTTATTTCTGCTCTGATCTTTATGATTTCTTTCCTTCTGCTAACTTTGGGTTTTGTTTGTTCTTCTTTCTCTAGTTCCTTTAGGTGTAAGGCTAGATTGTTTATTTGAGATTTTTCTTGTTTCATGAGGTAGGCTTGTATAGCTATAAACTTCCCTCTTAGAACTGCTTTTGCTGCATCCCATAGGTTTTGGATCATCGTGTTTTCATTGTCATTTGTCTCTAGATATTTTTTTATTTCCTCTTTGATTTCTTCAGTGATCTCTTGGTTATTTAGTAACGTATTGTTTAGCTTCCATGTGTTTGTGTTCTTTACGTTTTTTTCCCTGTAATTCATTTCTAATCTCATAGCGTTGTGGTCAGAAAAGATGCTTGATATGATTTCAGTTTTCTTAAATTTACTGAGGCTTGATTTGTGACCCAAGATGTGATCTATCCTGGAGAATGTTCTGTGCGCACTTGACAAGAAAGTGTAATCTGCTGTTTTTGGATGGAATGTCCTCTAAATATCAATTAAATCTATCTGGTCTATTGTGTCATTTAAAGCTTCTGTTTCCTTATTTATTTTCATTTTGGATGATCTGTCCATTGGTGTAAGTAAGGGGTTAAAGTCTCCCACTATTATTGTGTTACTGTCAATTTCCTCTTTTATAGCTGTTAGCAGTTGCCTTATGTATTGAGGTACTTCTATGTTGGGTGCATATATATTTATAGTTGTTATATCTTCTTCTTGGATTGATCCCTTGATCATTATGTAGTGTTCTTCCTTGTCTCTTGTAACCTTCTTTATTTTAAAGTCTATTTTGTCTGATATGAGTATAGCTACTCCAGCTTTCTTTTGATTTCCATTTGCATGGAA